CCCCGCCAGTCGCAGCCCCCCCGGGACCGCTGCCTTCGGGCATCGCCGGGTCCTGCTCGGCCAGCGAAGGGGAGCAGGGGAGGAGTCCGGCGGCGGCGCCCGTGCCGGGGCCGCCGCGGTGCCTCAGCCCCTACCCCACTTCGGGGGATGGGGCACGGCCCGAGCGCCCCTCGCTACAGCCAAGGTCGCGGCTGCCCTGCCCTGTTCTCGCCTTCCCTCCCCTGTCCGGCCGCTCCCGGCTGGGCCGCGCGCTCTCGGCCCCAGGGCCCCGAACTGCCGCCTGCCCGTGGTGAGTGGGGGGAGGCGCGGCAAACTTTCCCCTCTCTGCGGCGGGGGCTGCCGCCCCCCGGCCCGGAGCCGCCCCGCCCCGCGGCGCCGGCTGCGGTGCTCACCTGAGGCCGGGGCGCACCGCGGCTGGAAGCGGCGGCGCAGCTGGTGCAGGATGACGCGGAGGCCGATGCAGTACACCCGGAGCAAGGGCACCAGCGCAGACAATAGCGACATGGCCGCCTCCCGCCCCGCGGCGGCAGCGGGCTCGGGGCGCGGCGGGGAAGGCACTGGGCGAGCAGGCGGCCGGCGCAGTGTTTCCGCCGGGCCGGGCCGGGCCGGGCCGGGGGGCGCGGCGCGGCCCCCACCCACCCACGGAAGGGAAAGCGCCGCCGCTGTCACAGCAGCGCTCGGGCTCGCCGCGGCTCCCGCCCTTCTGGGCATGTGCGGTGGCGGGGGAAGGGAAGGGAAGAGAAGGGGCGGCGGCGGGCGGACCGGCCTCGGCGGCGGCGGCGGCAACAGCGACAACGCGGCGGCTCAGCCCCCGCCGGGACGCCCGAGCAGCTGGGCAGGGGGAGCCGGAGAGGGGCGGCAAGCGCGACACTGCAGCGAGGGGGGAGGCGGTAGCGGCGTGACAGCCGGCCCGGTGAGGCCGCCGGGGTTGGGGCGCAGGGACTGTCGCTGCCACATCTGTGACAGCTACAAGCCAGTCAGTGCCTAGGCGGAGCGAGGCACACGGCGTTGCTTCGGGACCCCGTGGCTGAAAGCGCTCATCGGGTTGTCTCAGCATTTCCCTTCACTGTGGCACAAATGAGGGGCTGCTGCGGATTCCCACGGCGTCGCTGGCTCTGGGTACGGCCCCTCTGACCTCGGGCATCCCTCAAGCTCACTCCTCTCGAGGTCTCAGTTGCAGGTACCGATTTCTCCAAATGTAGCTCAGTGTACGGAGCTTTCCTACCTCAGGAGCCGGAATTTTACACCTGTCTGACTAATACTTTCTTTACAATGATAACTGGTATATCGCATGCTGTATCGTGTTGTCAGTTTTCAATGCTCAGCCTTATCTGAGTACTCGGGACAGAGAAGCGGGTCCTGTCTACCAGTTCTTGTGGTAGGTGGCTGGTTTCGGCTACAGGAAATAGAGCGCCTGGTCCTGATGCCGTGGTTTTCATTCACAGAACCGGGGGGTTTTCAAAAATGCAGATGAGCCTCAGTATCGATACGAACTAAAATAGTCATTGCACAATAGGAAACGTTGGCCCATATATTCAGTTTCAAATCTTTAGGTAACTTTTTGTCTCTGAGAAAGATGGGAAGCCATACAAAATTCTGGAAGTGTATTTGAAATGCAATCTCCTAGCCTTTTAAAAAACCCACTCCATACTTTCTAAAAAATAATACAATTAACAACTTACTTTTTCAGTATCAGATTACATTGCTCAGAAGAACTGACTTCATGTCTTCTGTCAGAAATACACCTAAAGTAAAAGCATAGTGTGTAGTTGCTCCAGGACAAAACCAGCCATTTAATTTTATGGATCTCTGGTGATTTTTTTTTATTAACACAGAGAATTAGGCAAACATAAATTATAGACATCATTAAGTCACATCAATGAGGGATTCATTCTTAATGTATATATATTTTTTGCAACCATGCATGGAATACTAGAAAGAGCAACACATAAAACAACATGAAAGAAGAAATACATTTACTAAAGGTGAATTATTCTTTCAACTTATCTCAGTAAAAATCAAATCCTGACTCTTTTATGTTGCTTTACATCCTTTTCTCAGAACTACACCATTAATGAAAGCCCTTTCAACATTAAACTGTGAAACTTGCCTACAGTGTATTTACACAATCTGTATATAAATAAACCATACTTTCTCAGGTTTTCTAGTATAATAAAATCAATTTATGCATATTCAAGCTACTGCAATAAATACTCCTCTGTGTTTTTTCAGACAATGCTATCCAAGGAATTAGACTAAGTGAGGGAAAACTGATGGGTTAACATTACAGTCTTATTGGACCCACTACTTTTTCTCAGCGTGTTACAAATGATTTTCAGCCCTCCACGGTTCATGAGTACAGTGTCATAGAAAATATTAGAAATTTTTTTCCAACAATATATTATTTTTTTCCTAAAGCTAATGGGCCATGGAGGAGGAATGAAAATAATTACAACAGGCTGTAGTCTTTGATTCTTTTCAAATAGTCTTCTAATGCATTCCTTATTTTAATCAATACTTTCTTTTCTTTGGTTTTCAACAGCTTGCATCTTATTATTGACACTTTGGTTTTTCTTGCAATCATTTACTCCAAAGCCCCAAGTATTCAGGCTGGAATCTCATCCATCTACTTTAGATACCTCACTGAGACATTATTGAATGAAATTTTAGGTGTCTTAGCCCTGGAAGGGATGAAAGGAGCAACCTAATTCCTCAGCTTTGCTGTATGGGCAGAGGACACAAAGAGAGGCACTTCTGAAGACCTGCAGAAAATGACAGCTTTCTTTGAGGCACTTAGAGTGCCTCCTTCTTTCCACTGGCTGCAACTGAACTCACAGTGCCAGTGGGCAAAGCCAGCCTGCAGCTAGAGCACTGATGTCCTCTTGGAAACTCATCTGAAACACTCCTAACGCTCCATCGACACAGGATCCAGCCTCTCTATCCCTACTGCAGGACTGACGTTAGTGAGATCACAGTGCTTGCACCCACATTTTGCACAAAGTTGCAAAAACTTGTAAGAAAGGAAGTGGGTGATCTTTTTAGACCTAATTAAGCCCTGAGCTCCAACTTCCCAGCAGAATGGCATAACCAGCAACCAGGTAGTGTGGATGGTAGGTGTTGCAGGGCCACATCAGAGAAGACAAAAGCAAACCCAAGATTGGCCTAGCAGTCCAGATGCTCTCTGGCACAGGGTGGAGAGTTAAAAGGTTATGCTTTGTTTTTCTTGTCTTCTGTATGACACATCTTTTCCAAGTGTTAAGTTTGCTCCCCTTGTTCTTTTCTTCTCTTGAGATGAGAACTGGAGCCAACAACTCCTGGTATCCACGCACAGTAGCAGAGGTTGATGTTTTCTACCCAAGTGTGGTGTAATAGTTGGGGTAGTCTTGTAAAATGTCAGTGACACATCAGTCCCTCTCTAATGGTAAAATGCACACTGACACTCCTGCTCAAGTCATGCTCTCAGCCTTATGCACCTACGTGGAAGCTGATGGCCCATGTCGGAAAAAGTCAGACATAATTCTGACTGCTGCTAATTTTTCAGGCTTCTAAAAGGGATTTAAATGCCTGTCTTCCTAAGCTGGATTGTACTGGGACTTGAGGCAAGAGATAAGTGCCTATCTTCCCAGAACAGGATCTCCTTAACATGTGTGGGTGAATATAGTTAAATGCCTGAGGAGCTTTCAGGTTCAGTAGGGAGCTGCTCACAGTAATAGGCAGTGCTGGGAAACAGTCAGTTGGGATTACTTCTGAACTCATGGTAGGGGTTTTTGCACCTGCAGACAATTTTGGCAGGCTGCCTTTTTGGTTTTGTTTTGGTTTGGGTTTTTTTGACATATGCCTTTTTTTTTCTTCCTCTATACAAGAAGAGTAATTTTAGGTTCCCTCAAACTAGACATAATATTGGACACTTGAGCATAGCAGGCCTGTATGGAGCAGTAAGCTCTTAGGCAGCCTTCGTAGTAGCTGGGGGAGGGTCAGTTACTTAGGAAGAAACTTTGCCAAAGGGAGAGACGTCTGAAAGCTGCACAGTCGCGGGGACTGAGAGCAGGCTCCTCTGCTGTGGGCAGTCATCTGATGGGACATGCCTACTGTTCTTCAGTAACACTAAGGAAGATACACAGTAGATTGTTCTAAGGTCAACCTTACGAGTAACAGAACCATGCTACAGCATTTCCCCATGAATGGGGATGACTTTTGGTCCCTCTCAGCCTTTTTCAGATCTTTCAGTTTTCAAGAAAATGGTCTCATTGGGAAAAGAATTGCCTTTGCCAGTGTGGCTATAAGGTGACACCCAAGAACACAATAAAGAAAAGAAATCTGAGAGTTTCCCAGCCTAGCATTGAAGTTCATGGGAATGAGGCAACAGTGTTCAAATCCACATTCCCTGAAAAATCTACGCTTTTTAGACTAGAGAAGAACAGGATGAAATATGGACTAATAAGTGCAGTGGAGTCTTGGAATAGGGACAGCTTCCCCTCTTCCACAAAATTCTCAAACCACTTAGCTGTTATGCAAGAAGCATAGCATGCTTATTGTTCCTGTTGTGATATTTGGTTTGTTTTTTTAATCAATCATGTCTGCAGCAACTGTTGTATTTGTGCATCTAAGTATTCAGTGTATGTCACACTTTCAGAATCTATCTGGTCTGAAAAGCCTGAAGCATGAGTAGTTTGGTCTGGTTTGCATTCCCCTTCCCTCTTATGCCTTCTCCATATCACGTAAGTTCTAAGCATCCCCCCTGCCTCTCAGTCAAGACTCAGAAGCCAAAGAGTTAGAAGAAGGTATGCAGAAAAAAAGTAATTACAAAAATAAAAATATTTTTTAAAAATCTCCAAACATGTGTTTACCCACAAAACTTGCATGGAGACAAACATATAAAGCAGGTGAGCTGCTAACAAAAATACACAAGATTTTGTTAAAACCTTCTATCATAAAACACTTAAAAATACTACATATATTTAGAATTGAGCAGGGATATTAACAGGATTAACACTGTACATGGCAACTTGACTTGGCTAAAAGAAGGATAAATCATATGGAAATTCTAGATGTAACCAGGATTATTTCAGCAGTGGAAATCAGTTCTTATGTAATTCCTGGATATACTGGAAAATGTCTGTAAGTACATTAACTGATTGATTAACATACGTGAAGTTTTAAAAGCACTTTGACAAAATCCTGTGCACAAGGGATGATAAGCACTCAGGGGATAAGAACCAGCATATATGTGAAACAGAAGAATAGAAACAAAACCCCACAGAGAGTGAAACAAAGGAATTGATTTTTATCAGAAAATCCCAGCAAAAGAAGAACAGGGTGTCAAGGTTCCATTGAACATCCAACTCTGGCTAATGCATTCCTTACTGCCTCAGATGGGGTAAGGGAAAAGCTGTTGCATTATAATGGCATAGTGTTTCTGTTAGTCAGGACAGGAGAGGAGCAGAGGAATTTCAGACATTTAAACAAGCAGGGTGTTCTGGCAATATTCCATCACCAAGAAAATAATGCTATTAAATAAAAAAAAATTAATTATGCCCACTATAGAAATGTCTTTGTTGACAGTTAGTTCATTTGTGTTAAAAATATCTAGTGTCAATAACTGCCATGTGATTGTTTCAGTGTTTGTATAGGGATGTCTGCAAGCACCTGTGGCATTCCCTATGCAACACTGCTCAACCCATAACTAAGAGTATTTTGTTAGGATTCAGCAAATGGACAGAAAGATTATTATGGTCCAAAGCAAGAGTTTTCCATAACACCCAGGTCCACCACGTGTCTTTGATCTCTTCCTTAGCAATACTGTAAGACAAACACGTCTTTCATCAGAAGTGTGGCTAGCACCATTCTAATATGAAGGAAATAATAAAGCAGAATCACTCCTTAAAAACTGGGCATTGTGAGTTGATCTGCACCTGTATTTTTGTTGCATCTGCTTGCAAGAATACTTGAGTGCCACATAATATTGCTCAAGGCAAGGTTTGTGGGAAAAACATAGCACACCAGCTTTCAGGTACATGTAATCCTGCCCATCCCCTTACCCAAACAGGACTATGACAACACTGCTACTGTTGGTATTGAAGGTTTGAAAGCAGAGTGCACTGGTCTCATCTGTGCTGTTTGTGGGCATTTTCTGAATATTACACTCACTGCTGTTGCAGCTCGCCAGTCAGCTTCAGGAAGCAGTGGGATTGAATCCTTTGAGGACATGAGAGTCTTGGTTTTGGTCATATCAGCTATAAAGAAGCAGGTGACTCCATGCCACAAGCAGGGTGTCCTCACACTGATGATAGATGGGTGACCAGGTCAAGGAAGCTGAGAGATGGAGTTTGAATGTCAAGATCTTCAGAGTTGGACATAATTGACCAAAGTGGCAAGGATTGTGCCCCCATGCACATGTATGTGAAGTTGGGACTGTGACTGATGTTTTAGACAGTCAGTGGAGGCACCTGCTGCTGCCAGAAGAGGGCAATTCTTACCTGTTTTGAGCTTTTCATACAGCTTGAAGTGGCCTGGCTTTGTTCCCCAGTCTGTCTGTATGTGCCTCACACAAGTATGAAGATACTTTTCCACATGTATTCCTGTTTCAACAATTGACTTCAACAACTGACAACTGACTTCTTAGATTGGATTCACAATCCCATCTAAAGCAGTGTCTTTAGGACCCACACTGCTTTTGCACTTGGCTCCTTGGGGGCAGGTTCTGACCTCAGTGCTCCCCCAAGCACGCGAGGAGCATCTCTTATTTTTGTTGATGTATCTAAAGACTGACTGGGATGTTTCCAGCTGCCTGTCTCTAAGACTATGGCACATGAGAGAGCAAATGCAGAGGTGGGTAAAGAGATGTGTAAAACAGGCTGGAGGGAAGATCAGGCCAAAACATGATGCAAAGGAAGACATGCAGGTGACAGAAGATAGGTACTGTGAGAGAGCCTAGAGGTTGATTCATTTTGGTTTAACTTTGCTAAAAAATGGTCCAGCTCACTGCTATCCCTGACCCCAGGCAGAGGTGTGCTGAGAGGTGGATCACAAACAGGAGGGATGCAACCGTGATCTCAGCTGGGACATGTGCAGGGCCCAATGTTATCTTTCTCCCT